TAAAGTCTGGGATTGTGATGCCTCCTGCTTTGGTCTTCTTCACATGGACTTTTAAAAATCCACTCATGTCTCTCCTATCTAAAACATTCCTCTACCTCCTACCTACTCTAGCCATTGCCTTATCTCTTTCTTTCCCTCATGACAAACTCCTTTTTTAATGTTTATTTTTGAGAGAGAGCGGGAGAGAGAGAGAGAGAGAGAGAGAGAGAGAGAGAGAGACATCAGGTACACAAGACAGGGAGAGGCAGAGAGAGGGAAGGACAGAGGATATGAAGTGGGCTCTGTATTGATATCAATGAGCCTGATGTGGGGCTCAAACTCACAAACTGTGAGATCATGACCTGAGCCAAGGTTGGACACTCAACCGACTGAGCCACCCAGGTGCCCCCTTTATGGCAAAATTCTTGAAGGTATTTCCATTTCCTCACCTCTGATATGCTTCTTAAACATTTATTTATGTACTTATTTACTTTTTAATGTTTATTTTTAGGAGAGAGAGAGTGTGTGATCAGGGAAGGGGAAGATAGACAGGGAGACACAGAATCCGAAGCAGGCTCCAGGCTCCGAGCTGTCAGCACAGAGCCCAACGCGGGGCTCAAACCCACGAGCCGCGAGATCATGACCTGAGCCAAAGTTGGACGCTTAACCAACTGAGCCATCCAGGCGTCCCTCTTCTTAAACATTTAAAAGTTATTTATATTCAAGTAATACTTGCACATAGTTAAAAAGTCAAATATTACTAACATTCATATTGCAAAAAAATAACAATCTTCTCCTCACTCCCAATTTCTGCTCTCCAATAATAATATTGAACATTTACTTTGTGTTGGGCATTATTCTAAGGCCTTATAAGTGTTAACTCATCTAACCCTTATAAAAACCTCATGAGATAAACACTATTATTATGCCCATTTTAGAAGTGAGAGAATGAGGCTCAGAGAGGTTATATGACTTGCCTAAAATCACCCAGCTAGTAAGGGATAGAGGCAGGATTCAAACCCAGGAAGTCTACACTTTTCCAACAAAGCCAAGCAATTTCAACTCTATTAGGTATTTCTCTTTTTTTTTTAAGTTTATTTATTTTGAGAGAAAAAGAGAGAGAGCAAGCAGGGAAGGAGCAGAGAGTGAGGGAGAAAGAGAATCCCAAGCAGCCTTGGTGCTGCTAGCTCAGAGCTCGATGTGGGGCTCTATCTCATGAACCATGAGATCAAGACGTGAGCCAAAATCAAGAGTCAGATGCTTAACCAACTGAGCCACCTAGGCGCCCTTCCATTAGGTATTTCTGTTGGCATTACCTTTACATTTCTAAATAGCATCATTATATTGCTATTTTTTTCAAATTTAGACATTAACAATTGACTTCTACAAATCTGGAAATTTTTCAGCCATCATTTCTTCAAGTATTTTTTTTATGCTGCCTTCTTCTCTTATGCAGATTCCAATTACATGTATATTAGGCTGCTTGAAGTAGTTATCAGCTCACTGATGTGTTGTTCATATTTTAGCCATTTTTTTCCTCTGTGTATTTCATTTATTTCTAATGATATGTCTTGGAATTCACTAACCTTTTCTTCTGTAATGCCTAATCTGCCATTTATCTCTCTAGTGTATTTTTCATCTCAGATATTATTGTTTTCATCTACAGAAGTTCGGTTTGGGTCTTTGTTTATCATCCATATCTCTACTTAACATATTTAGCCTTTCCTCTAGCTTTTGAACATATGGAACAACACTAATTCAAAAAGATATATGCACCCCTATGTTTATTGCATTATTTACAATAGCCAAGCTATAGAAGCAACATGACTGTCCATTGATAGATGAACGGATGAAGATGTGGCACACACACACACACACACACACACACGCACACATGCACACACACGATGGAATATTACACAGCCATAGAAAGGATGAGATCTTGCCATTTGTGACAACATGGATGGACCTCGAGGGTTTAATGCTAAGTGAAATAATTCAGACTGAGAAAGACAAATACCATGTGATTTCACTCATATATGGAATCTAAAAAAAAAACAAAACAAATGAATAAACAAACAAAAAGCAGAATGAAACCTATAAATATGGAGAACAAACTGATGGTTGCCAAGGGAAAGTGGGTGGGAGATGGACAAAATGAGTGAGGGGGAATAGGAGATACAGGCTTCCAGTTATGGAATGAATGAGTCATGAGAATAAAAGGCACAGTATAGGGCATATAAGTCAAAGATATTGTAATAGGGTTGAATGGTGACAGATGGTAGCAACACTTGTGGTGAG